GATGGACATATGGGCAGATAGATGGATGAATGGACGGATAGAAGTGTAGAGCGATGGATTGATGGATGAACACACGGTTGGTTGGTTGGTTGGTTGGATGGATGTACAGATGGATGGATGGATGGATGGACATGGATGTATGAATGAATGGAAAGACAAAGATGGATGAATAGATGGATGGATGGACAGACGGATTGAAGGATGAGCAGATGAATGGATGGATGGACAGATGAATAGATGGATGAATGCATGGATGGATGGATAAATGGATAGACAGATAGATGGATGAATGGACAGATAGATGGATGAATGGACAGATGAATAGATGGATGAAAGGATGAATGAATGAATAAATGGATGGAAAGATGGACAGATGAATGGATGGATGGACGGATATATAGATGATGAATGGACAGATGAATAGATGGATGGATGGCCTGATGGATGGAAGGACGGATGGATGAATGGATGAATGCATTGATGGATGGACAGATGGATGGAAGGATGGATGGATGAATGGATGGATAGATGGATAAATGGACGGAAAGATGGATGGATGGATGGATGGATGGACGGACGGATGGATGGACAGATAGATGGATGAATGGATGGATAGACAGATGGATAGAAGGATGAATGAATGAATGAACGAATAGATGGATGGAAAGATGACAGATGAATGAATGGATGGACAGATGGAAGGATGGACGGATGATGGACAAACAGATAGATGGATGAATGGACAGATGGTTGATGGATGAATTGACGGATGGACAGATAGATGGATGAATGGACCGATGAATAGATGGAAGAATTGATGGAAGGACAGATAATAGATGGGTGAATGGATGGATGAATGGACAGATGAATAGATAGATGGATGAATGGATGCATGGACAGATAAGATGTATGAATGGATGCTTGAATGGATGGACAGATGGATGGATAAATAGATGGATGGACGGATGAATGGACAGATGGAAGGATAAATGGATGAACGGAAGAATGGATGGATAGATGAATGTGATAGACATGTTAGACCTTTCTTTTATTCAGAAACAAAGGTCAAAGTTTAAAGCACAGTAGTGTGTGTGTGTGTGTGTGTGTGTGTGTGTGTGTGTGTAATGCTGGTGCTCTGACAGACTGAGTGTGGATTATCAATAGATTATCTTCAGTCTCTCAGCAGCCGTTCCTCAGTCTGAACTCTTCACACACACTACAGACAGCATGAGTTACAGCGTGGAGGAGAGAGGTCGAGAAAACACACCCCAATACAGAGTCTACTTCAGTAAGAGTGTGTCTGTGTGTTTGTATCTGTCAGTGTGTGTGTATAGTGTCTGTAATACAGTAAAGACTTGCTTTGACAGATCTGACGTGCTCACTGCATCTCCAATTAAGATTTATTAAGTGAGTTAAGTAAAATAATGAAGTAAAATGATCTAGTCTTTAGCTTGAAATGAGTTTATTTCTGCTACCCAATCGGCAGATAATTGAGCTTGTTTTAAGATTAAACCCACCTCATTTGACCCGTTATTTCTGTCAGATGTAAATCACTGCACTCTTCTAGGGCTGCGTTTCCCAAATAACGACGTAACTCACTGCTGAACTATCAAAGTGTGATCAACGTTTAGGAAAAGAGCGATGTAGTGACGAGTGTTTCCCAAAACCCGTAGTTTCTCTGTCGCTTATATATTGTTTAAAGCATATTAGTTATAACGTAAAACGTCCATAATGACGCTCTAAACAGGGCGAAGGAACAGCTTCTTTAGAGAAGAACCCCGTCATTTCTTTGTGCCAATCTTTGTTGTTTTACACGCTCATGCATTTGAAAAAAATTGTATGGGTAAAAATATTAGTTTTGGTAACTCACTTTCCATATTAACTGAAATATACAGTATGTAAATGGCACATATAGAGCCTGTGTTTCCTCTACAAATATTATTAACATTACATAATCTATTCCAAAACAAAAAATCACTTACAAAAAAGAACACGAATTTTAGTCTCATATATAAATCATATCAATAAATAATGAGGCTATTTTTTAAATAAATAAAACTTAATCTTTATTATTTATTAGGAAATGAAAAAAAATCATACTTTAATAATAATATTAATAATATTAATGATAATGATGATTATTATTATTATTATTATTATTATTATTATTATTATTAAGTAGGGATATTGTTTAGTTATTTTTTATTATTTGAAAAAAGTCTACTTTTACAATTTGACACATGCAAACTACTGCAGAAATATTCAACCCAGCAGGCTCATGTCATATACAGTACAGATACTTAATAAACAATCCACTATAAATTAAAAGCATTAACGTAAGCTGTGTTTGTTGTTTTCACAAGCTTTGGAGATGTAACAAATTCCTCTTTTAAATAATAGGTCACCTATAGCTTTCCCCACAAGGCTGTGTTCACAATGACATTAATGTTTTCAAAGTGCACTACAAAGGGAGCACAATTGTACACATGAAGATCGCTAAAACTGAACTGTAGAAATACTTTGCAAGTAAACTACACCTAAGATAGATGACCTTAATGCTTTTTTATAAAATAATTCCAAGTTTAAATGTTAGGGCATAGGGGGGGATAAGTGGGATTAGAACACTGCCATGTTTCTAGCTACAGCTCCAGAGGTGTAGTTTCAAGTGCTCAACTTTGCGAATGTTTGTCGGAACGATGGATTTGGGAAACACTAAACTCAACGAACTATGTTTGTAATGACTGAACTTGCGACCTTAGTTGGCTAACCATGGTTTTCAGAAACGCACCCCAGACTAGTTTTGTGCTGTGAGGAAATTTCTTCAAATCACAAGTACCAAAGAAGGTCTGCACTCAATAATATATTAAATAAATCACAGGAGAAAAGACAGAAAAGCATTTAAGCCGTGTCCCTTTGTCAGTGTGACTCATTATTTCTGAAAACATAACTCTGTATTATATTTGTCAAAAAAATGCTTCTTGTTTTTAGGTATTTTTAGACACAAAACAAGGCAAAACTCTAAGCAAGAAATGCCAACTTGCGGTGTGAATTACACTTTTTAATTGATGCAAAGTTTATAATCTGTCATCTTTCACGAAGCTTTAATCTAAAGTTTTCAGCAGATATTCATGCTCATCTGCACTCCCAATGCGAAGCCATGTGAACAATGTTTTAATTAAAAATCCATCTGTAAGTCCAATCTCACTTTCCACTCCGCTGGTTCTTCAAACAGCTTTAAGTTCGTGTGTGTTTGTGTAATGGACTGAACTGAAGTGATCCTGACCACGGCAGATATACTGTATCAAAGCCTTTTAATGCCTCAAATGCATGTACAGGGGGGAAGTAAGCACTGAACACATCGCCATGTTTTTTCCTGGGAATATTATTTCTAATAGAGCTGTTAAGATGGAATTGAAGTAGATTTTGGTAAAAACTCAAACAATACAAACATAAAAATAAAACAAAACACATCTGGAAAATGAGACCTGTGTGATAGAAGGAAATGACAGAAGGAGAAAGAGCTGAACTGCAGAAATGTAATGAATACTTTATATTAAAGGCTTGTTTGGTGATGGCAGCTAAAAGACGCCTTCATATGGTGAATGAAGCCTCATGCACTGCTTCAGTTTCGGGCTTAGACACTCTTTGCATTCACACTACAAGCATACCGCACCAAAGCCCGACCAACTAAACCACGCAGAAGCCCGATTCAGAGCACTCACACTCATCAAACGAATTGGGAAATCCGCCTGGGCACAGATCGGATAGCATAGTATGATTGCACCCTTTTTATGATTGCAAGGGCAGAGGGTTGCTGAAGAACCACTGAGAAATCTCAGCTGCTGTCTGGGCTTTCACTGCAGAACTACACCTTCCTTTCTTCATCTGTTCAATACTTTTTCCTTGTGTCGTTTCATTTTATTACCCAGAACTTCATTTGTAAACTAATCAGATTTGTTTCCTTTGCATATATAGATTTCTTTGGTTGTTACCAACATCCCGGGAATATTTCAAGTCAACAGCACCTTTAGAAACATGTTTTCTGAAGGAAATGGTGAAATGTTCAATACTTATTTTCCCATACTGTATACTGTATATATTAATTCATTCATTCATTCATTTTCCTTCAGCTTAGTCCCTTATATATCAGTGGTCACCACAACAGAATGAACCACCCACGCTGTATACATATATAAACACTATATATGCTTGCTTAAGCGACACAGATGCTACATGAGAAAAATAATCTCTGAATGCTGCTCTATTTATACACAGGTGTATATATAGCCATTTTCTGGCATCATAGTCACACACACACACACACACATAGTCACACACACATCACACACACATCACACACACACACATCACACACACATCACACACACACACACACACACACACACACTGTTCCGCATCTGCTGGTTTCAGAAACAGAAGGAAGAAACAGTTGTTGCTGCGTGACCAGCCATGACGTATGGTGGAGAAAATCTGCTTTCTGTTCAACCCAAACGTGTTTTT